TTATTTACAGCAGCAAACCCTGTCAAACACAATTCCTGATAGAGAGAGATGCTTTAGAGAGCATTGCCAAGGGACAGATTTCAGTTGCTCTTCTCACACACGCTGAATGCACGCCTTTGTACGGAGCCAACCGGCTCACGGCGCTGCAGTGCCTCCCACAAGACGTCCTTTCAGCACATAATGAAAGATTTAGATTTAAAATAAAGAACTGCTGCTCCGCCTGTACGAGGAGGGCTGAGTGGAGGCAGACATGGGACACCCAGAGCTCACCTCACCCAGTGCCCTCAGCCCTGGGGACCCCCTGTGAATGAAACCATCCTCTTCACCCCCACACACGGGTGAACCATCTGCAGGGCACCCATGCTAACACTGGTTAACCTGTTGCTCAGGTTTTTTGCTCTTTATCATTCTCTTCTGCCATGCCCAGACAGCAGCACTTCCAACAAACCTGCCCGCCAAGTGCTGCCAGCCTTCCACGTTTTGTCTAATGAGGGCTAAAGCAAGTTCCCTGGTTTAAGCAAACACAGTAACTTGGTAGCGTACTTCAAATGGGAAAAATAAGTGTTCTGTCAGAGCACTCTTGGCATGCCAGCCCTGGAAATCACAACGACACTGAGCCACTGAGAGCTGACCCACCCCAAACGTGGCTCACGTCAGCAGTGGCACACAAGGGGTTAAACACCTCCATGAGTGGAGGGGACAGAAGTAATGGGCAGCTCAGCCAGCACAGATCAACACTGCTCCAGTCTTCAGAGAAAACCCCTCTGCCCCACGGAACCCAACCACGGGCATCTTGCATGGAGCCCAGCTCGGTTTGTTGCTGTGCCCCCCGGCTCTGGGCTGCACCACCGAGCACCATAAATGCCTTATGAGCTCTTCACCAGCCCAAGTGAATTAGTCTGGGACTTGTGGCTGTTCGGAGGCATCACAGCAGCCCCAGCACTACACACACTTCCTGATGCTGTCGCCTGGCAAGGATGGGAACTGACGCCCCAGAGAGATTATCGGGTGTCAACTTCCATCTGGCATTTGTCAGAGCTGGGAAGAAAAAAGGCAGTTCTTATCAGATCTGCAAATAAAGGAGCACTTCCACTTCGTGTGGTAGCGACTGGAAACATTTCTTTGTGTGTGAAGCTTTAAAAATATCTTGCCCTTGGGGTTGGCTCAGTCCGCTCAGTGCTCTGAGACCCCTTTCCCATAGAAAGGTAATAAAGCAAAGCTTATGGCTACAGAAATTCCCAGCACATAAAAATTACAGGAAACTGTTGCTAAGTAATATTTCTACCTAAGTAAACATCACAAAACGTTTCCCACACACACCTCTGAACTTTATTATTTAAAACTGCCTTGAAGATGTTCGTATTTTCAGCATTCCTTTTGGCACAGTCCCTTGAAAAGCACTCCGTTTTGTTTCTCAGCAGCTGAAAAACACTTTGGACTGAGCAATGCTTTTCAGAGCGCTTTGTTGTGCTGTTTGTACCAGGAAACAAAGCAGGCTGCTGAAGCAACCCTTCAGATCCTTACCTGCCCCTCACCTGCCCCATTATTTTTCCTGGATAGGTCACAGGAAAATGAAAGGGAGATCTGGCTGCGCCCTTCGTCTCCAGACCTGCTTACACATCATTAAAAAATCCAGACAAGCATCATTATTTTCATACGGTGCCTCTCTTTAGCAGCTCCATGACGTCCAAGTACTCCAAAACACCCTCAATTCTACCTGCTCTATTCTACCCCTGCTTTCACACACCTTCCACCGCCTTTTAATGAAGCTAACAAATTCCTGATTGCATTTAATTGATAGAGAGACGAGTTTTATTTTTAATCACGTGAAAAGCCTACAGACAAACCCCAAATGGCCCACGCTCCAATTCCTGGTAGCACGAAGTCCCAGTGTCACAAAGATGGCAGAAACCGACAGAGGTTTCATTCAGGATGAATGGGAGAACCTGGACGTCACCATCTGCTCCAGGAAGAACCCACCCTGTATTCTGGATGCGTTCTCCCATCCCACAGCGCAGCCCTGCGATGCTCACTGAGGGCAGCCTGATGTTACAGATCCTTTCCCTGTCAATTTCATTCGGCCGCTCCGCTCTTCCTTCCCCTCACCTTCCTCCACCTCTGGATGACCCAGCACACGAGGAGAAGGTCGAACCAGGCACTGCTGAGAACATCAGACTGCTTCAAATTACACACGGACAGAGAGGACTGAGCGCAGACTGGCAGGAAATCCATGTCAGTGGGAATTGTTCCTTCCTTGAGAGCAGTGACAGACATATAGACTTTTTATTGCATTGGAAAAAAAAAAAGAAAGAAAAAAAAATGCAAAATATGAAAATCATGTTTGGCAGATCTGAACTGAGGTCTGGGACGTGGCATTTCCAGCATTTTTCTTGTCTGGATTCCTCAGCAGAGACACCCTGCGTGAAGACGCTGCGCTGAACTAAGAACTGAATTTCTACAGCAATGAAAATAAATACATATGTATTAAAAAATAAAAAAGGCTTATAAAAACGTGGGCTGAAAAGATAGAAAACCTCCAGAAGAGGCACAGCCCTTGGCTGCCACAAGCAGCACAAGGCTAGACCCAAATTCCAAACCGACTGCATATTTCTCTCCCTTCCTACCCAAAATACAACATGAGTTGGCCTCAGCTGAACTGCTGTTCGTTTTTCACACCAACACGAGCGACGCAGAAAAAAGGAAAGGACGATTCTGTCGCGCATCCCGAGCAACACGCCTGCAGGCTGCTCTGCGTGCGCTGGGCGTCCCCTTCTAGACTCCCCAGTACCACCAGTCGGCCATCCCAAAGCACACAGCTGCCCACATTATTTCAGTTCCTCCACGCGCCACCCGAGCTCCCAGGTCCACAAGGAGATCTTCTGCTCTGCTGCCTCCAGCGTGTCATCACCAACTGAAACACTGCTGGGCTGCACAGCACGACTCCAAGGGCTGCAGGAGCGGCTCTGAACTGCGTGCTGTGACTCAGTTGGTGCTGGAGTCAAATGGGAGACGGGAATTGGCTGAAAGGAAGGAATGCCAAAGATGCACAAGGAGCAGCAGAGGGACACGGACACGATGGGCAGGGGAGGGCAGGGCCAGGGGGTGCTGGGGGCTGTAGCATTCGGTGCTGAGGTCCCCAGATAAGCTGCCTGAGCGCAGAGGGAGATTCGATCCCATTGACGCCCTCAGTCCTGAGACTCTCTGCAAAGCTCTTTAGGCAAAGGAAAGCCCAAGTTGTATTGCCACGAGCTCACAGTAATTGTGACAAAGCAATTACATGCATGAAGGGTACGTTATGGCTGGCAAAGAACAGGGAATGCAGCAATTCCACCAACAGATTCTCTAAATGAATACCACAGCCTCTACCATAGCTACCGCAGCACAGCGCGTCAGTGCAGGAAGTCGAAAGGCAACTAAAAAAAAAGTCAAAACAAAGTCTGAAAAAGCGCTCATAAACAGTTACAACAACTTGTGAGGCCAAAGGCAGGTGCCACAGACAGACACCATCTCCCTGTGAGCACCAGCTGCACTGAGAGCACGAAGCAGCATCCGCCACAAAGCTACATGAGACTCATTCAGGTGTCTTTGGAAACGTCTGCCCATTACAGCCAAAAGGCATCGCAGCATCGCCGCCCCAATTTCACTAAAAGGAGCACGGGAAACCGAATGGAGGATTGGCACTGCTGAAATAATTCCCCAAATTCCCATTTCAAATTCCAACCATACGGAGGCACCAGGTCGGCTTCCTTCGGTAGCGCAGTGAGAGCAATGCCTGCCGCCTGCTGGGACCCGCGCTGCGCCCATGGGAGAGGCTCAGGAGCTGAGAGCTGTGCCCCAGAGGTGCAATGTTAAATTCCTATCGGTTTCGTGGAAATAAACAGTCACATAAAGGAGAAAAGCCATACGTTCCAGTCTGCTGCAGCACAGCCCCAAAACTCACAGGAATGAGGGGTGATGAATGCTCTAGTCACAGAAAACTCCTCCAGTTCGACCTCTAACCCTTGGAAACAGGAGAAAACAGACCACGAATGCACAGCAAACCAGGTGCACTGCTGATAATGACTGTATACCAGAAGAGCTTCCAAACTAAAATGCTTTACAACCTTATGTTTCCTTTCAGAAAAGAAAGGCACACAGACTTTCACATGATCCTGCTCAAAGCCTGTTATTCCAGCAATAAAAAATAACCACTTTCTTTAAAAGGAAGCGAGACAATTTGGGGTGAGGAGCAGCAGAGGGGAAACCACATTAATTTCATTAGTTTATGCATACTGCTAGGAATTCCGCCTGAAATCTGGCACTCGGCGCTCGGAGTTGCCCTTTAGAGCTTGGCAAGAAATTCTCCTCAGCCCGCAAGTTTCCTAATTTCGTCTCAGGACACACTGCTTCATTTGGATGCAGCACCGCTGAGGAGACAGGCAGCTCTGAATGTGTCACTTTTAACTCAATTCACTTTGCTTCTTGTCGGACGGGCTTAACATAAATCAAACCAAACGTATAATTACAACCAAAATTAAGGTCAGCTTCAAGTTTGGAAGAAACAAACCTGTGTGAAGTTCAAAGCCACCCTATGGACACTGAGATCTGGAGTCTGGGGGCCGGGACGGCAGCTGTGCGCGCATCTCCGTGGCACCAACCCGGCCTTCCTCCCCTCCCCTTCTCCCAGCCCAACCAGCTCCCAGCTTCCTGCTGTGTGCAAACACTGCTCACCCACCCACCCATCTCACACCTTTTTATGGCAGGAAGGTTTCAGTAAAAACGTTATTGCATCCTTCCCAAGTCAGCTTTATTCCACAAGACCTTTCCCTGCCGCTCCGTTTCTGCCTTTCAATCAACCCAGGCTTGTAATCCCATAGCCAAGCCCCAGAAGAATTCCTAATACTATTACACAGACAAGAGCTGCACCCACAGAGCACAGCTGGGAGCTCCGGGCAGGCGCTGACTTTCCAGGGAACCCAACCACGGCACTTTGGGGGCATTACTCAGGACAGCTCACCCACCTCGCTGGCAGCGGTCGTGGGTCCAGCAGCGCTCGATGAAGATGCCGTTGATGACGGTGGGCGGGCAGTTGCTTTTCCCTTTCACGGTTCCTGGACACACATCTCCGCACTCCTCCTTGTCGTCCTTGTTGGCGATGATGTAGTTGTCCTCGACGGAGTCCAGAATCCTCGACCAGTCGATGGTGGACAGGTAGCACAGCTCGTTGTTCTTCTCGATGCGCACGGCGCCGCGCGTGATGTTCATCAGGTTGTAGAGGCCGATCTCCTTCAGGTGAACCATCTCAAAGATGACCAGCGCGTAGTTGAAGAACAGATGGGTTCCTCGGATCACCGTGAGGTTGGGGAAGAGCCCCTTTAAGCTCTCCAGGCCATATACACGGAACAGAAGCAAGTAGTCTGTAATCATAGTCAGTTTGGGGAAGCTGAGCTCGCGGAAATCTTCAGGCTTGGTTTTAAACATCAGCAGTATTTGCAAGTGGCCCTCAATCACCGTGCAGTTCTCCAGCAAGCTCAGCCGGGTCAGGTTGTTGCGGATGTCCATGCTTCTGCAAACTGGAAGGCAAAGAACAATGCTGTTTATTTGTTCTTCTAAGGTGACTGTTAGCTTGCTAAATACACCCATTTTTCCAACTGTATCATAACATATAGCTGCATTCAGATTACACGGACGGGTCCTGTGCCACAAAGCAGGCTTGGAGCCTTAAGAAACAGAGCTGGGAACACTCCCTGGTATACGATTACAAAACACGAGTGAATGGGGATTTCATAACTTTCTGCCATCTTGAGTTTGTGGATTTTACCTCTACCACGACTGGAAAGGCAGCGCCGGGCCGCAGACGTCACTCAGCGTTTACCGACATGGAGGTGTCCATGCAACGCAGTCTGTTTTCTTTAGATAGTTGCCAGCGACACAACCACCTCACTGCATTGTGCAATGGGTGCTGGGGGGGTCATTGAGAATGGCGGCGGGGAGGGGAAGATTGGAAAGGAATAATGGGGAGAACACAGCAGCACTGGGAAGAGAAGAAAAAGCCTGGAAATAGAGGGAAGGAACGCAGGCTGTACTCCTGCCCAGCAGACAGGAATGGTTTACTGCACCAGCAGCCTCCGCCCAAGGCATTATTTTCAGATCAGGTGTTTCCCTGGGACTTTCTTTGTTACTGTTTTCTAAAGGTTGCAGATCTCCCTGCCCTGCCCAGCCTTGCTCCGCTGGAGCAGCCGCCCCAGGAGATGGGGAGCAACAGAGCAGGGGGGGCAGCAACCTGAACGTCCAGGGAGCGGAGATGGGGAGAGGGGACACCGAGCACAGGTGGGGAGATCAGAGCTGTGGCTGCAAGGTGCCCCAACCACGGCACTGCAAAAGCCAAATACAGAGACTGCATCCCCTGCAGGGACTCTCTTTGCCTGCAGCCGGGACTGCCCTGCGCACACACATCCTCCCTTGAGAGTTAACAGAGCAGAGTATTTACCTTTTTTGCTCACTGTATATACAGACCACTGACTGTAAAACTGAGCTTCGAGAAATCACTCTGCAGTAATCAAGCCTTATGAAATGAAGGTGCGTGCAGATGTTGGGCAGCTCCAAATGTCAAACCCCCACGGGTGCCACTGCTGCGTGAGTTAAAAATACATTTTATGCAAACGTCTTAATGATTGTTTAAAACTTTGCTCAACTGCAATAAAAAAAATAAAACTGGCAGCGCTGCAATAGGACTCGGAGCAATTTTACTGCCCAACGGGGCTGCTGGCACACTGAGCACAGCCTCAGAAATGCTTTCTGGAAGAAGTTGAGGCGCACAGAGCATCAGGAACGGCAGAATGGTTTGGGTTGGAAGGAAAGATCTAGAAGAAATTTCATCAGTGCAACAAGGCTGGGGTTTTTTTTAGTAACAATTAAAATCAGCACATTTCTCTCTGATTCTGAACCCAACAATCTGCCTGCGCTGAGAAGTGATTGACTTTGCCACAGCCTCTAACGAGCTCCTGACATTCACTGGAGGAAGAGGAACGTAATCACAGCTCAGCTGGTGCCAAGTGGAAGAGCTTCACAGACCTACAGGGGATCGAGAGGAGAACAAGCTGCTTTCCAGCCACACGCAGACCCGGAGCAGGGAAGGCACAGGGCTGCTGCTCAGTGCTGCTCTGAGACCCCGCGGCACCCAGAGCACATCCCAGGTCTGTTCTGAAACAAACAACTGAAAAAAAGCTGCTGGGATGCTCAACCCATGAAGATTTAAATGCTCTAGCCAGATTTTTCCACCTGTAGAGAGAATCACATTTCAGGTATATTTTTCATTATCTACTTCAGGTTAGTTTTTACGTGCTAAGCATTACCCACAGCACTCAAACTCCTCTTTCACACCTCCAGGACCCAGCAGAAGGAGCCATAACCACGTGAAGCCAAATCTGCTTCTCTGCTGCAGGGCCCTCAGCCCCATCCCCTGCCCGAATCCCACTCTGCAGCAGCTCAGTGCAGCTGCTCACTCAGCCGAGCATTCACTGTTACCAGGACAACGAGAAGCAGATTTAGGCGAAGTAACACTCCTGCTGCCAGAGAGGAGCTGCTCCTCCGTCTCTGGTTACTCAGAACGAAGTAACTTAAAAAATCCAATCAATTAATTGTCACAGACAAGTTTCACTACACCCCCACATGAAGAAGGCTGCAATGTGATAAAAGCACACAGGCCAAACCCTGGGACCTCCGTGAGCCACTGCTGCTGCTCTGGGTCTGCACCAGACTGGGTCTGCCAGGATGACATGGGAAGCCCACAAATCATTTCAGATGACCAACGGGAAACTGCTTCAAGAAATGAACTGCCTAAGAAAAACTGCGCTGGCTGATGGAGCCCAAACCACGGCAGCTCTACGCACTGCTGCAGCACTAGGAAACGGGAAAAGGGCCCCAGGGTGATCCCTGGGATAAGTGATGGAGCAGAAAGCATCCTGCCCAGCACCAGGACAGGCTGCAGCCATGCCTCAATGAACAAAAAACACCTATAAGTGAGACATTCGTTTTCAAACTTTGGTTTTCCACCTCCATCATTTACATATGAACAATGCCAAGTTCCGAGAAGCACTCAGCAATGTGGGGTATGGATCCACAGCCCAGGGGCAGCACCCAACACAGGGAACCCATGGGTGAGCATCCCCAGGGCAGCACGACGACGTACTCAGAAGGGGAGGGAGTGCTCTCTGGTCAAGTGAACAAGCAGAGGGAAGAGAAAAGTATGGGGCATGAGAAATGCTGCCATGAGGCTCGAAGATCAGACAATACCGTCACTGGGGAGCAGCGTTATCACGGGGCACACAGTGCTGAATGTGAGACACTGCCCAGAACGCAGCCTCCATGAGCTCCACTGCTCCGGGAACAACGAGTGCTGTGCTCACACAGCCTTTGTGCTGCATCCCCCCACCCAACTGTGCTGTGTGAGCCACTGCAGGGCCCTTGAGCTGGACCTCAGCACAGCAGCAGGCTGTGAGATGTTTACTGCAGTGTTTGTGCTGTGTGAGCAATACACATTCCAGCCCAGGTTTTGCTTCTGCACCTCCTATGTCGCTCCTGCTATCCATCCACAATTGTACAGCATGTTTTCCTTTCCTACCGTGGAGTAACACAGCAAACACCATCCGAACTGCTCACCTTTTACACTTGCAATAAAAAGTAGAATTAGCTTTTAAATAAGCAAATAAACAGCGCTTCGGTGCAGCAGCAACAACAACGCTTTCAGATCTGACATCGGCGGGCTGGAGCAGCGTGTGCATGTATTTGTTATCAGTGCTATTCACCAACCAGCCCGTCGCTGCGCTGCTGTGCCCCTCCGGAGCCGCGCACCTCCAGGGCCTCCTTCAGGGCTTCAATGCCAAACCTCGGCGTGAGGCGGCACGGGGCTCTGAAGCTCACAGCGGGGTGAAGCCGCGCTGCCATCGAGCGCTGCGCTCTGCGCTTTATTCTCGCAGCGCCGGCGACGTTTCAGAAATGCCCAATCGCGGGTGGATTCGGAGCTGTTCTCTCGCCGCTGCCTTTCGCGGTGGGAAAGCCGACGGGCGGGCCGTTGGGCAGCCCCGGCACCTGCCCGCTTATCTCCCAATAAACACGTTCACCTTCTTGGAACTCGCCGACGGCACAAACCGTCCCACCGCGCGGCTCCTTCGCCTCGTGCCCGAGCAGAACCGCGATCCGCACACGGCGCTGCTCGACGCCCGCCCGATGCCCGGCCCGGACGGATCGGCGCGGCGCAGCTCGGCCCCAACGGACCCCGCGAGTCCGCCCGGCGCAGCGGCACAACGCGTTCCCGGCGCGGCCCCGGAGGGACGCCGGAGGGACGCCGAACGAGCGGCCGAACAGCCGCGGAGCGGCGGCCGTCGCGCCTCCCAGCCGCCCGGGGCCGAAAGCGCCGAACCGAGCGATGAAGGTCACCCGAGCCTCCCCCCTTCTCCGCCCCCCGCGGGAGCGCTCCGGGCCCCGCCGCCCCGCGCTGGAGGCCGCGCCGCCCGCCGCGAGGCCCGGCCCTGCCCCGCCGCGCAGAGGTTCAAAGGGTAGCGCTGCGGGGCCGCCTCTCCCCTCGCGGTGCGGGGCCGCAGCTCGGCTCCCCGCCGCCCCGCCGCCCCCCGCTCCCCGCCCGCACTCACTCTCCGCGCGGCCGCCGCAGGCCGCCAACACCGCGGCCACCGCCACGGCCGCCGCCGCCGCCGCTCTCGCTCCCATGGCCGTCGTTGCAGCCGCTCGGCGCGTCCCGGCGGGGGCGAATCAGAGGCCGCGGGGCGGGCGCGGGGGCCGGGCCCGGCTTCGGCTTCGCATCGTCGGAAAGAGCCCCGCGGAACGGCCGCGGTCCCCGCTGCGGAGCCCGGCCCGGCTCGGGACGCGGCTCTCGGCCCCTCCAGCGCAGGCCGGGCGGGCGGCCGCCTCCTGCCCAGTAAACAAGGGGCTGCCCCCGTCAGCTGCGAGCGGGCGGCGGCAAGAGGCGGCGCGGAGCCGGGAGGGACGGGACGGGGGAGGAGCGCGGCGGTGGCAGCGGCTTCCACCTGCCGGGCCGGGGCGCTGCGCTGAGGGCGGGGGCGGCCGCGGGCGGAGCGGAGCGGAGAGCGGCCCTGCGCGCGGCCCGGTGCCGTTCGCTCCCGGTGCCGCGCTGTTGGCCGCCGAGCAGCCGCGCGCAGCCCGGCCCGCCCGGTTCCCACGCAGGGACGCGGCGTTTGAAGCCCTTTTCCCTCCTCTTTTAATCGTCCTCGCTGCGCCGTTGTATGAAGCCATTACCGGACGTTTCCTGGCAATTTGCAGTCATTTTATCGCGCGTTTGCAGTCCCGTTTCTGCAAGACGTGGAGCTACTGCGGGAATAAAACCTTTCTAATTCAGCCCCGCTCGGTAAAGAGGTTCTACCAAATCTTTGCCCTCCATCAGCTGTGCACAGTTCTCCCCACGGAGCAGCAGGCAGCCCCCGGCCCAGCGCCGTGCAGGCACTGAGCTGCATTAAGAGAGGTTGCACCGTTGTAAATATCTGCCATCTCTCTGTATGAAGGGAGCCAAGGGGTGTCCCATAGTTGCGAATGGCGGGAGGAGCGGCCAATGAACCCACAGCTGTTCTGGGGGAGCTCGCTCTGACCCTTTGTGTTTCCCAGTTGAGGACGGGGCCTGATTCAAAGTCACCTGCGTGCAAACAAGATCGGCTGTGGTCGCTGGGCAGCAATGGCCGCTTCTACCCTTTGCAAAGCACTGGAATGTTGAGATGAAGGGCCCTGTGCGAGCAGCACTGCTTCCCTTGTGATCATTGCAGCAGGACGAAGGTGTGTCAGAGCTGCTGCTGTGGGATCAATGCTCCCCCCAGCTCTGTTCTCGCTGGCATTTGCTCAGATTCTATTTACAACCCACAGGAGTGTGGGAGACTCAGAATCTGCTCACTTCAGGACACTGCAGGAAGTGAGGGCAGAAGGAATGGGAAGGGGCAGCAAAACCACGCTCTGTGCTTGCAGCTCAGCCTGCCTCGTATCAGAGCCTTTGCACAAAGCAGAAAGAGCCACACGTCATCCCCAGAGCTGCGTGGAATTCGGAATGTGACTGTAATAGCAACCTGCTTCTGCTTACTCACGTTCTCGTTGCTTTCCATGTGATAATAATATCATCTTACAGATTTGCAAGGAGGATTAAAGGCTACAGCTCTATTCTCTTTCACTAAAATACTATTTTTAGTTTCTAATTACTGATCAGGAACATCGGTGTGCAACCTTTCCCATGCGGTCGCTGCTCTGAATCCATCGTGCTTTTGCCATCACGTAACCCAGCAGCAGCACTGTGGGCTCCAGGAAGGGAACCCAGCACCAGTGTGCTCCTGGTCCTATTCCCAATAGCTGCACTTTGTGCTCTCCTCTCATTTCCAATTTAAGAAAAACTGCTAAACCCATTAGTCTGATCTATGTCTGATCTATCGAGTACAACTCCTTTCTTAAGCATTAACCATTCTCCCCATGTATGTTTTATGGTTTCTTAGGAGCAGGTTCTGGTTGCTGAGGTGAAGTTACCCCATGGAGCTCAGGAGGAGACGGTTCTGCTTGGAATAAAGCACAGGTTGCCTTATTTTTATTGAGTCAAAGCTCCATCCAGGCTCACAAGTTGCCCGGTGTGCAGCACACGTTTTCCATCCTCCTGTCCTTTGGGGATGCGGACGAGTTTCTGCTGCAGCCAACAACGGCTCAGCGTGAGCATGGCTGGCAGGATGCGGCCAGAAGGTTCCAGAACGGGCTGCTCAGCGAGGCCTAGCTCTGAGCACAGCACAGCCGGCCTTGGGAATTGTATCTCATCCTGTTTGGAGTCACGTAGAACTATTGCCAGATCTCCCAACATAAAATATTTCACGTCACAGTGACCGAATTCCTCTCTTACCCTTCCTTCCGTCCGCACCAAATCCGATAAGCGAGTGCTGTCTTCCCAAAGCAGAGCTCTGACAGCCTGCTGGCCTTCCGTGCTGAGGGCAGAAGCCTCAGCCTTCTGCTACTGAAACAGGAAACACTGACAGATCCTTCCAGATAATTCCATTGTTACGTGAGCAAATACAGCCTTTGCTTGAGGTGAAAATGGCAGAGGGCATCTCTGCCACATGGCTCCAAAGCCGGCGGGGATGAGCGCAGGAAATGGCAGCGCTGCCCATTTCAGCTTTTGTCCTGGCTGATGTTTGGGTGTCACAGAGGCAGACACAATGTTAGACTTCGTGCTTCCCATTCCTTACAACTTCTTTGTTTCAATTTGGCACCAACCTTCTCAGCTAGAGAGTACTGACATTTCTCCCGCTGGGTACAACCCCAGGTCACCGCGTTCCATGCACAGCCCACAGCCCACCCCGTATCCCAGCCCCATCGCTGCCCCCAGCCCTGCAGCTCTTGCAGAGCTCAGCTCCCACCCCAGGCCCGCTGTGCCCCGCAGCTGCCAGCCGTGCAGTTCTGTATCAGCAGCCACGTGCAAATCAGTGGCTGCAGCCACGTCACTCTCCAATACGTCATATGCACACACTGTGCCCCAGGCAACCAACTGGCTGTGCCAGTTCTCATCTGCAGTTTGTGCTGTTTTTTTTTTTTTATAATTAATTAACGCATATTTTTCGCTAATCCAGGGTCAGAATTGGAGGCACAGCCCCTCGGAGCAGCATAGCAGAGTTCAGCAGACCATAACCCTGTGCTCCACGCTGCTTTATCTCATGTTTTGCTTTTTGGACAGCACAGAACTCCTAGTTCCCACTTTGATAAGCAGTTTGTTCCGTCGCTAGGAGACACACCCTTTCTTTGTAAATGTTACAAATCAAGCATATCGAATCCATTATTCACTAGCTGCTGCAGCTTCCCACTTCCATCTATTAAGAGACAGCGATGGTGCCAGAAATGTCACAGTGGTCTCATGTGACAGGTGGCGTTGATTTATCTTCCATGGTTTGTAATGCTGCTGTTGGTCAATGGGAACGAGCAGCACAGCTCAGCACAGCAAGGAGGAGCAGCCGGCACCGCGCTCTGGGCTGGGAATGGCACCAGCACCCTGCAGAGGGCTTTGACTGCTATTTTCTGCTCCTATCTGCTGTATTATTATGGTCGACGTTTCTTTCGTGCTTGTCACTGTGTAAGACTTTGATTCTGAGGTTTCATTCCAGGTTTATGATGGAGTCAATGAGAAGGGAGGCGGAGCAGCACGTGGTGAGCAGTGGGACGGGACGTCCACCCATCCACCCCAACTGCTCTACAAAAAACACGACGCATCGGGTGCGAGAGCCGCCACACAGCAGGGCAGATGTGCTCAGGCCACCCACAGTCTCTATCACGTGAGGCTCAGGAAGGCTGCATTCACCCTCCTGCTGTGGCTTAGGTCTCTGACAGCACCAGTATTAGCAGTAGTGGTACCATTTTTACTTGCTGCCTGCAGATCAGGGCCCAGCCTGTGTCTGATAAACAGCTCCCCATGTCGATTTCCCAAGCTTTGGGAAAGTTAAGCAATTCTCACTTGACCATGTTTGCAGAATGCCACTTCTATACATAAGGAAACACATCAGAGCCTCACAGCACAACATGGGGCCGAGGCCTGCAGTCACTGAGCGCACCACCAGCGTGACCTCAGTCAGAAATAAGGGCTGTCCGTCCATGACACCACAAAGCATTCTGTGACTGCTTATCCTGAATAACCCCTGCACTGACCTGCAAAGCGTCTCTGAACACTATAATTACTAAAGGGACCCCAGAAAAGCAAAGACTGCAACTTCTGATTGACAAAGCACTTATGGCGTGTAGGAAGACCGCTGCCCACAGGGGCAATTAATCCATTTGGTTCATTAGTGCAGAGGGTGACATTGCTCCGTGGGGCCCTGCTGTGTGTGACAGCACCGCAGGTGGCAGAAGGGATGGGCTTCAATCTCATCTGGCACTTCATCCTTCCAAATAACGCACCCACAAGATGTCAGCGCTGTGAAGCTCAATAGCAGTTGATGGGGATTTGGAGGACTGAATGTTTCTGGAGGGCAGGCTGCCACTTCCCTTCCAGAGCTTTTCAACAGGACTCATTTAGAAGTGCCAAAAAGTTACAGCCAACGCACGGCTGATGGCAACGCAGTGCACCAGAGCTTCTGCAAGCTGTATTCAAAACAACAGTGTATTCTGAGTATGGAAGGGGAAAATGTGATAGACAATGAGGAAGTGTTAACGTCGTAACATCCCACAACCACACAACAAATTCCAGCACTGCACTCTGCTCTAAAAGAAATGCTCAGCTCTGAAATCCCCGCGGGGAAAGCAGCAAACAGTGGGGATTCAAACACTGGTGACACTGCAGCCACTGCTGGAGCACAGGGAGGAGTCCAGCAGCTCCGCTTCGGGAAATGCAGCTACGTCACAACAACGCGTTTTTATTCAGTTGGGAGATTCTGTAACGACACAGGCGTTCTGACGGAGCTGCTCCGTTGGGATGGATTGGGAAAAGAGCTCCATTGTCACGAGCACACAACCGCTGTCAGTCTTTGCCCCCTCCCTCCCCTCCCCTCCGCTGGGATCCACACACAGCTGAAAGATCCCCACCTCGCGGCCCCAAGGAGCAAATGGCGAAAAGCGCAGCAGCCACGGGCGGCTCTTCAGCTCCTCCACGTGCAGCACAGCAACACCCACAGCTTCAGAGCAACTCCACAAAGCACAGCACAGGTGCAGAAGGGCTCCAGCTTAATCATGAGCCCCAGAGAATGGCTATGAGACTCTTACCACCAACCTCGCTTTACTGCGGCTGTTTTCTTCCAGCTGT